TAAGTATTTTGATTATGGTTATATTAAGTTTCACAAACATAAAAACATGAAATAACTACAATTATTATAAAATGCCATAACACTATAATTTAACGAGGTAGATATATTATATTTTAATAGTTAAAATTATCTGTTTTCTTAATAAGTTTTTTATTTTATTTTTTATTTTCTGTTTTTATGTTTGTGAAACTTAATATAACCATAGTCAAAATACTTAAGTAAATCAGAATCCTTATTGTTAAAATTATTTAAAATAAATTTCAGTTTACCATCCAATCAATCTAAAGAATAAATTTATTTATAATTTATAAAATACTTTAATTATTGTAAATATTGATATGTGTTAAAAAGCTTCTGAAAATTCATTAGTTACTTATGTATGTAATTTAGAATCAGAAACTTTTAGTTTTTTATTTTTTTTCCTTCTAAGCACAAAAAATCATAAGGTATATATAATCTTACTAAATATACTTATATTTCTAAGAGAACAACTAGCATAAATGCAAATAATAAAATTAATCAAAAATTTAATATATTTAAAATATAAAAGATAATAGTTGAATTCAGAGAAATAGATAGAATCCAATATATCTAAATGATAACTAAATCGACCGTAAAAATAATAAAACATCCTATATATAACATATCTAAAATTATATATATAAATAAAGTAATATAATATTATAATATAAATTAGACATACAAACTATAAATTAATTTAAAAATTAAAGTAAATATCAATCAATTATTATTGTATATTTATTTTATAAATATATATGCCCGTGCCCTGGAAAATCACGTAGTATATGTGTAATTTTAGAAGAAGTAAAGGGTTCAAGTCGTCATTAGCAGACCAGGCAAAAAGCCCTTCCATGGAGATAATGAATTGAGATAAAACATTCACAAATGATTCACCAGAGTTGGGTAATTTCATACCTGAGCTATCGCTACAGAGATTGGACGACGTGAGCCAAGTCGGACGGAGAAATCTCCATGAAGATTTTGATTGCCATTAGCAACCTGCAGCTCTCCCGACGATCCTAGAGAAGAAAACTCACAGGTTTACAAAAAGAGAGTGAGATGAAGTGTTGGTGGCAGTAACTGTAAGCTACGAAATAAATTCGGAAACTCTTTCTTGAGATTGTGCCTCCAAGTTGTTTGTAAAATTGTCTGAGTGATTGCAAACGGAAATTCCCGTGCCGTCAAATGGGAATAACGGCGTCAATTTGGAGTTGGAACTGGTTAGCATCTTCCGATATAACCACGTCACACTTGCTGGATTTTTCAGAAACGAGCCCAAGAGAGTGAGTCTTTATTGTTTTTTTTTTCTCTTTTTCTTCCGTTATAACTTCATTGTAACTAACTTCCTCTGCTCTAAAAAAAAATAACAGAAGATTCGAGAGAAGCTTGACATTGAAGATTCAGAGGAGAGGTGTGGTACTACACTTCTCGTTTCCGCTGTGGTACCGATCCGTCTCTTTCTCTTTGGACGAGGTATACTTCTTGACTTTGATTAGGGATTGAGATCCGATTCTGAATGAGTTGTACCTTGAGAACTTTCTTCTGAAACCGTTGCTGACTTAGTGCTTGTAGTTAGGGTTCGTCATTAGGTTTTCGTAACTAGGGTATCTATCGAACAAGTTCGTATTTTGTTATCTCCTGATTCTTGACATGGAAGTAATCAGAGGAGAAGAGTTGCTGATTTAGACTTCAAATCTCATCCTGAGTGATGATTTAGTTCTTGTAGATAGGGTCGGGTATTAGGGTTTTCTATCGAACACGAAGGTTCTTATTGTGTCATCTCTTGATTCTTTTATGGCCAACTTTGGCGAGGAAATATAGTTCTTTGTGAACTATAATCTATGTTTCTGTAATTGTGTGCTGCAGGAGATGGGGTACGAAGTCAATGATGTCATCAGGACTCTTTCACATTATGTGGAGATATCTGCAACTGAAAGCTCAAATTTAACATGGGCGACTTGTTTGCCTGAAAAGTATGTGGGTAGATGGATACAGCTACGAAACAGAAATACTCACATATTTTTGGTCACTGGATATGAAGCACCTCTACACTGAATCGAAAGCTATGATTTCAAGCATATACATGCATGGGTGAATCTGAGTAAATTCCATCTCGACCAAATCAGGGAGCAAGCAGTATCTAATCTTGTGCCAGTTAAAGATGACACCGAGGAAGAACTTCAATGGCGACGAGGAAGACAACACACTTTGTTGGTTGATCCGGGCTTTAAGGACATGAGATGTAAATTTAAGATAATGCATATCATGAATACAAGCATTATTCAAATATGTTAAAGCTTTCCTTTTTTTTTTTTGCAGAATTGCTACAAGGCCTGAGGCAGCCAAAGAGAGCATTGTCTCCAACAAAGCTCGGCCTTAGCTTCAACTTCTTAAAAGAGAGGGAGGAAGATGCATGCAGGAGTGAGACATCTAGTGACGATTCCCCAGTTGTTGCTGATTCCAAACAAGACAATGCAGCTGAAGCCAGATATCTAAAGTACATGAATATAGGGAACCATACGTTTTGGGCCAGTCAACCTGTCGAGCAAATTGGATCTATCATGGACCCGAGTCTCCTTGATGGGCCTATTCAAACTTCAACTCTTCAACACTGGATCTGAATTCGGATGCTGTTTTATCAGAGGTGTGTAAGCTTCTCACTGAACACGATAATGAAGGTAATGGCAAGTTCAAATATGCTAACCTTGGGGCTTTTCTGAAGTGGGTATTGAGTCCATCTGGGTGTGGGAACCGAAATTCACACTTGTCGATTTCCGTCAACTAAGGAAACTTAGGAAAACCCTAATTTTTCAGAGGAACCAGATCTCTGCGAAAGCCAACGACGAGTAACCAAATAAATGCGGAAAAATATGAAAAATGTAATAAAACGAATTTAAAGAAAAAGTATATCTTATTTCGATTTCACGTAAGAGCGTTGCGATTATTACAAGGGTTTACAAAGGTTTTGGCCGCAGGGCCATCAGCGAGTTATCAACATAAAAACCTTGAACCTAATCGAGTCGCAGCTCGATAACAAAAGACGGAAAAAGATAAGAAAAATGATTTGATTGATTTCGGACTTAACCTTATGAAAGGCTGCCTACGTACCCCTTTCGAGGATCAAGTCGAACGTAGTTCAGTTGATAGAGCTGGACCATAGATCGAACCGCCTAGGCGAGTTCGTCTAGTAATTGAGCGCCAGTCATAGAAACCGAACTTGTCGAGAAAAAAACCTAAGTTTCTAAGTGCGGAAAATTCTAAGTCTAGAAAAGTTGTAAAAGTCTCAGATGAGAGCTCTGGATTTCGTCCCTTTGCTTCTGCCCTATGCCTCTTGCTTATATACTCCCTTCCTAGGCGGTTTAGTCTTTCCATTTCGCCCAGACTCGAGTTTATAGGGAATCTTCCATTTATCTCGATCTTTCCTTTTTTCCCGCGGAAATCTTCCATTTATCCTCAAACTTGACATTTATCTTCAAGTTTGACATTTATTTTCTTTCTGCGAGTAAATCACCAAAACGTCGCTGTATCTTCGGGTTGGATTTTGTTTTAAAGTCGCGAGTGGCTTTTATCGCGTTTTAGGACTTTCCGAGCCGTTTTGCGATAAATCCGTTTTACGACTTTAGACGAGATCGTTTCCTGATACGATGCCGTTTTTAGATAAGTTTCTCGAGTTAATCGTAAAGCTAGGCACTGTTCGATGTTTCGATTAATCGTTTCTACGATTTACTCGGGGTTTTATTGAAAACGTGTTTTGTACGATTTTTACGAAAAATCTCGAATAAATCGTATAGTTTAGGCAATATTCGATGTTTCGTTTAACCGTTGCCGTTTTATACGATTTCCTCTAGTTCTTTTCGAGAAAACAAAGTTTTACGGTTTTTATCGTAAAACTCGAACGATAGGACAGATCGAGACGAAACAGGATACATTTCGACCGTGATTCGGAATATGATCGTGTCGAAAGACGTATGCATTGAATCAAGGATGTGGGAGATCGAGGCTCGGGATGGTCGGCTCGACGTACGGCGAGTTAATTCAGCTTGGCTAGGTCTCCGTATGGCGAGCTAGGCGATAAGAACCCTTGGGGCAAAGTCAGCGCCTCTTGGGAAGCTTTTTGTCCGCCAAACGGCGAACTAAGCCAGCTGGCTTAGTTCGCCGTTGGGCGGAGTAGTCGGGACGAGGCTAGTTCGCCCAACGGCGAACTAGTCGGGACGAGACAAATTCGCGTTTTACGGCGTTTTCGGTTTTTCGCGGTTTTGTAAAATGATTCTTCGAGTTTTATAACACGATTTTTCGAGTTTTATAAAACGATTCTCCAAGTTTTATAAAACGATTCTTCGAGTTTTATAAAACGATTCTCGAGTTTTTTAAAACGATTCTTCGAGTCTTATAAAATGATTCTTCGAGTTTTATAAAACGATTCTCCGAGTTTTATAAAACGATTCTCGAGTTTTATAAAACGATTGTTCGAGTTTTATAAAATGAGTTTCGAGTTTTATAAAATGATTATTCGAGTTTTATAAAACGATTCTCGAGTGTTATAAAACGATTCTCGAATTTTATAAAATGATTCTTTAAGTTTTATAAAACGATTCTTCGAGTTTTATAAAACGATTCTCGAGTTTTATAAAACGATTCTTTAATTTTTATAAAACGATTCTTCGAGTTTTATAAAATGATTCTCGAGTTTTATAAAACGATTCTCGAGTTTTATATAATGATTCTCCGAGTTTTATAAAACGACTCTTCGAGTTTTATAAAACGATTCTCGAGTTTTATAAAATGATTCTTCGAGTTTCATAAAACGATTCTTCGAGTTTTATAAAACGATTTCTTTTATATTTTTGCGTAGACTTTTTGCCATTGATTCCGCCGTGACCGATTTTGACACCAACACTGGGTATTATCAAAGTTGGCATATTGGAATCCCTGTCAAGAAGAGTCTGGTTGCTTTCCTTTTTGGGGTGCCTGCAAGAATCATGTTTCATGATAATGAGACTGTTAGAATAGCAGCTGTCAGGTTCTTGTGTGTTCAAAAAGAATTCAGGTCTAAGGGACTTCTCCCTGTTATGATTAAAGGGATGATTCGAAGGGTCAACTTAAAGGATATTTGGCAAGGCGCTTTTTGCTCTGATTTGCTAGTGGCAACTCCAGTCACCACTATAAGTCACTAGATCAGAATCTTGAACCTGACGAAGGTTTCAAAATTTTCAGGTGAAGCTATGTCAACAAAAAACGCCACCAAACTCTACGAGCTACCAAATGCATCGGTGACCCCTGGACTTCGCAAAATGGTACAATCTGACGTCCATGCTGTCACAGAGTTGCTCAGGGGATACCTTCTAGAGTTTCAGGTTGCAGCTGAGTTTTGTGATGAAGATGTCAAGCATTGTCTTCTCCCCAAAAACGATGTTGTAGATTGTTACGTAGTAGAAGACCCTGAAACTCATGTTGTCACCGACATTTGCAGCTTCTACACTGTCTTTTTTACTATCGGTGGCAGGAACAACGACCAACTGAAAGGGGCGTATTCTTACTACAACGTCGCAACAAAGACACCGCTTGTCAAGCTGATGAAGGATGCCTTAATCATCTGTAGGCAGAATAAATTTGATATCTTCCAAGCAAAGGGTGTGATGCACAACGAGAAATTCTTTGAAAAACTCAAGTTTGAAGAACTGGAGGCAGAGGAACATTTCTATCTCTTCAACCAGCGCTTAAGGACTGGATTACAGCCTTCTCAACTAGGCTTGATTCTTCTCTAAATGGTAAGTATTAATATGATTAAAGGGTTTAGCTTCTCTCTTTTTGGGTTCGATCTCAGTTTCAGTGATCGTAGTGGAATTGTAGGGTCGTTACTAGAGTGGTATGTTTCGATCTTTATCTGTTGTCTGTTATTCGTTCAATTATACCTTCAGAGTATTCATCTTTGTATAACTCTGTTAGTATAGTGATATGTTTGGACCTTTTGTCGTGCTGGACCAAGGTTTGTGTTGTGGTTGATCATAAAAGCAGAAAAAGTCATGACGTTTCTCTTTGGTTCTTTCCTCAGCATTTGTATATAATAGTTCGTAACCATGTCTCTTACCTGCAGGCTTTCGTTTTTGTGAATTAGAGGAACAGAAGGATCGTTACTATAATGGTATGTTTGGACCTGTATCTTAGACCATTGTCTGTTCACTTACACTTTCAAAGTATTCATATTTGTAGAACTCTGCTAGTATAGTGATATGTTTGGACCTTATATCGTGCTGGACCATGGTTTGTTTAGATCATAAAAGCGGCAAAAATGATGACGTTTCTCTTTGGTTCTTTCCTCAGCATTTGTATATAATACTTCGTAACCATGTTTCTTATCTGCAGGCTTTAGTTTTTGTGAGTAAGAGGAACAGAAGGATCATTACTATAATGGTATGTTTGGACCTGTATCTTAGACCATTATCTGTTCACTTACACCTTCAGAGTATTCATCTTTGTCGAACTCTGCTAGTATAGTGATATGTTTAGACATTATATAGTGCTGGACCATGGTTTGTTTAGATCATAAAAGCGGCAAAAGTCATGACGTTTCTCTTTGGTTCTTTCTATGTTTCAGGTGAAAACAAGGAACAAAAGAGCAATATGGAGAATGAAGATGAGAGTCCAATGATTTTGTAGTTACATGTGAAGGATCTTAGAGTCAAATAGAAATTTTTTTAGTCAAGGAAGCTGATGTTGCAGAGACTTTGTGAGTCATGTAAGGAAAGAAGTGAACCTAATAAATTTTGAAATCTAAAACCTTTTGTTGGCTCGTAATGATGATTACGTTTATACTATAATCTCAGGAAAGATAAAGTCAACTTACCAATTGTTGTATGAATTAGAGGCCTCCATTAGTTTAGGCCCAATGGACCTAGTTTTCTTACTTTTCTTTAGGTTAATTTTCACGCCAAGAAATAGTGAAAATAAAATTTGTAAAATTGTTTTCTACTCAGTCAAAATCAATATACACGTATTTTTTTGGTCAACTAATGGAATTGATTAAAGCCTCATAAGGTATTACACATACAAGCCATATGGGCCAGAGCGAGAATGCAAACAGTGCTTTGCATGTAAGTCCGTAGGCCCGTTTAGCTCACGTTTAATGAAAGAAAAAGAACAAGAGGAGAACGCTAATGATCGGGAGAGAGAGGCGATATTCGAGAGCACTCCGTAGAGCTCAATCGGAGGACATCCCGCAGAGATAGCTCGTATGAGCACTTGAGAATCTGATCGAAGCTAGATGGAGTTGAGATTGAGGTCAATTGCGTGGTAGAGAGAATTTCTAACTGCTAGAGCCTCGGCCATACAAGCCGATGAGACGTGTTCCTGGAGCAGCGATCCTCGTGTTATTTCCCGTCCGTCGGAATAGGTGAAGATCCACCCCAGCCCAGCTTTTCCTGAAACCGATAGCCGCGCCGTGTCGGTGTTGCAATAGACTATCGATGTTTAAGAGTCTTGATGGGGCAGTTCTGAAGGGCCACTTGGTCTAGAGACGGTAGGGTTTCTGAACTTCCATTGTGCTTGATCCCATTACTTGATAGCAAGGATTGCTTTTTGAATGACCTCCATTGCTGTCGCCTTCTTCTTCTTGAAAATCAAGTTATTTCTCGAGATCCATAGGAACCCAACATCCAAGAGAAAATGTTTCTTGTGAAGCCATATGAAGGTAGTGAGATGCGAGTTCCAGAGGAGATGAGCGCTTCTTTAAAGGAAGAGACTTGGGAGGATTCGAAAGGCTGTGTCCAAGGAGATAGCTTCCATACTTCTTTCGCAAAGGTGCAATGAAAGAACATATGTAGTGTTGTCTCTGGTTCGTCGCATCGGGAGCACTTATTTGGAATGTCAATTCCACGCCTTTGGAGGTTTTCTCCTGTAGGTAATGCGTTTTGACCCACTTTCCATAAGAACATCTTTATCTTGGGGAGCATTTGTGCTGACCAGATATGTTTGTTCCAATCCCAGTTGTCAGGATCCGTGTTCAAGAGTATCGTCGATTGAACTTTGGAGGCCTGGAGTGAGAGATATCCTGACTTTGCAGAATAAGTACCCGACTTGTGGAAGTTCCATACATGTGTGTCATGAGCTCCTTGTGTACTGGGGCGGATGGATAGGATATGATCTACTAGCTCTGGGAACAGGTTTGAGATCTTGGCCTCGTTCCATTCTTTAGTCTTTCTAGAAAAGAGATCTGACACTAATAGGTCTTGATCTTTCTCTAGCATAGGTCTTATGGGTTTCAGATTGCTGCTTTGATCGATCAACGAATCTTTCCACACACTGGTGGATTCTCCATCCCCAATAGCTTTCCCCAGGTGGTTCAGAAGCAGTCTCTACCCTTGAGAATACCCTTCCAGCCGTGAGAAGAAGAAACAGTGGCTTCCACACTGAGGAAGGAAGATGAGGTACATTATTTGCCTATCAGAATTTGTGAGAGGAGACAAACTGGTTGAGTGATGATTCTCCAAGCAATTTTTCCTAGAAGGGCATGAATAAAGGCTTGTATATCTCTGAACCCCAAACCTCCCATACCTTTAGGAAGTGTAAGTTATATCCCAAGCAACCCAACATATTTTCTTTTCTCCTTGTTTTGAATCCCACCAAAACCTTGTGAGGACAGATTGAATCTGTTTACAAAGACTAACTGGGAGTTCGAAACAGGTCACAGCAAAGGTTGGTATAGCGGAGAGGACAGCTTGGAGCATGGTGGCTTTTCCAGCCATTGAGAGGAAGCGGGTAGAATAGTTTAAAGCGCGTTGCTGCATCCTGTTCACAATGGATGAGAACAAGTCCTTTTTATTTCGGCCACAATGCTTTGGGAGACCCAAGTATTTGCTTACACCTCCCTCTTTATCAATCTTTAAGTGCTGTTTAACTCTCAGTCTAACCTCTGGTGGTGTTTTGACAAGAAGGAAATAGAGGATTTAGCTGCATTTATCATTTGTCCTGACGCTGACTCATAACTATGCATGATGTTCATCAGCGTGGAACAGCTTTGGGGATCGGTTTTGGTGAAGAACATAGTGTCATCGGTAAACAGAAGGTGACTTAACCTTGGACTACCTCGAGAGACTCTCAAATCGACCATTGATATCCATTATATTGAGATTTTTTGCAGAGACCAGATAGGACCTCTCCACAGAGAATGAAGATATATGGTGATAAAGGGTCTCCCTGTCGGATCCCACGTTGGGGATTTACACAACCTGCCACCACGTTGTTGATGAGGAAGAAGTAGGACACAGTGGTAATGCACTGCATGATCAGGTGAATCCAATTAAGGTCAAAACCCATTCTTTCCAAAACTGCTCTAATGAAAGTCCACTCAAGCCTGTCGTAGGCTTTGCTAATGTCTGTTTTGACAGCCAAGGAGCAGTGGACTGTGGCTTGTGAGGTTTTGAGGTAGTGTAGCATTTCATGAGTAATGAGAACATTATCGGAGATGGATCTCTCAGGTATGAAGGCTGATTGATTTTATGATATTATCTCTTGTAGAATCGGTTTGAGACGTAGAGATATCAGTTTTGAGATGATCTTGTAATAGACATTACAGAGGACTATAGGTCAATAGTCTGAAACTTGTTTTGGAGTCTGAATTTTAGGAATAAGCCTTATATGAGTAGTATTGATTGAACAAGGTAGGGAGCCGTTTGAGAAAAAACTCTGAATCTCTCGTGTGATTGGAGGTCCCACTGCACCCCAGTTTGCTTAGAAGAAGCTGGCTGAGAAGCCATCAGGTTCAGGTGCTTTGTCCGGGTGGATTCCAAAGAGCGCTGCCTTAACTTCTGATGTAGTGGGGATACGTTTTAGAGTCTCATTTGTCGACGTGCTTATACACGGAGTTAGAGCTCCGTTCACCACATCATCTGCACTTGGTTATGAAGAGTTAAACATCTGTTGGAAGTATTCAGAGATTACTCTAGCAATTTGCACTACAAGAAAAATGGGCTTTACTAGCGGATGAAAAACGCTATCTACCGATTCAACAGTGGTTTAAGGAACGCTGTATCATCGCCCGTCATAGTAGATACGACACATTAGATAACACTTTTTCGCGATGCTATCTTTTCTTCGGAATCGATAGCGCTTTTTTATTTGCAATAGTAACCTTTTTAATAGCATGTCATTAATGTTATTATTTATATTATTAACAGCGTTTTGGAGAAGTTATATTTAATTCATATATAGAAATTAGTAGTTCATGCTATATATATTATTTTGAAATTATAGCAGCTAATATTGATGCTATTATATAGCATATTTAAATAATTATAATATTTATATATTTCATTTTATAATTTATATTTATTTATTTATTTTTACATATACTCGATTTTTTGTTTGTCAGACATTATATTAAACAACATAAACTTAAAAGATTCAACATTAAAACATTCTTGTCAAATATTACAAAAGGAGAGAAATCAACATTGGTAGTTCAAAGTATGCTGCAACTAGCATAATAGCATAACAAGTTCAAAAGCAACAGATCTTTCTTACATTAAAACAAGCTTGTCATTTGGCCAAGCGACCATGCTTCCAATTGCATCACCAATGAATTCAATTTCTGAGTTTGGCCTCCACACTCGTGCCCCATGGAACTCGGAAACCTCTACCCAAACTTTAGAAGCATTGGGACCTAAAGGGACGAAATGCACCTTTTCTGCTGGATCAGTTGAGAACACACGACCTAAAGCCACTCTCTGCCCAGAGTTATTACAGTCCAAGAGAGCGCACTTCTGTTTAC